AGAGAGAGAGAGAGAGAGAGAGAGAGAGAGAGAGAGAGAGAGAGAGACTGTTTCACAGCAGACTTCCTGGTGTTCTGGTTCTTACAGTCTTTCCACCCCTTCTTCCACCATGTTCCCTGAGCCTCAGATGTATGATCTATGATAAAGGTGCATCCAGTGGGGTTGGGGACACCCAACCATTGATCTCTGCATTGTGTCCAGATGTGGTTTTCTGTGATGGTCTTCATTTGCTATAAATTTTTTGATTGGGGAGGGAGGTGCACTTATTGGTGGGTATAAGCATAAGATTTAGGCTGTAGTTAGGAATTATGCTGGCGTAGTAAAATAACGGTAGTTGATTCTCTTCTAAGATCCACGACCTCACCAGTCCTGAGAAGATGGCTAAGTTTCTAGTGGTAGGCATGACTTGCCTCCTGTTGAGTGGGCCTCGGTCCAGTTACACAGCTGTTGGCTTCCACTGACGTGCCACTCTCTTCTACTTTGTGGATATCTTGCCATGATGGTCATTGTTGTGGTTAACAAGGGTCACAGCTGGGTAGGATTGTTAAATGCTTCCTTCCCTTAGCAGCTTGTGCAGCAATTCTGGTGGTATGGCTATGTAAACAGGGCTGGAACGGCAGCAGCATCAACTGACATGCTAATGTAGAAGGGGGAGATCTCATGGAGTCCTACTCCTAGACACAGAATTACAGGGAACTAATGACTACTCAGAGAGGAAGAATTAGCTGTTTTCATGAACGAACCCCCTAATCGGTTATCCATACAAAGTGGTCAGCCCTGAAACCATATACACACAAACAAACCAAGCAGACTAATCAGGTTATATTTATGTATTTGTGCATACATATGTTTGTATATGTGTGTATATAATATATGTAACAGCAATAATAAAATGAGGTTATCAATTTGAGAGTATGGGGACAAAGTTGGAGGGAGGGGACTTGAAAGGGGTTGTAGAGAGGAAAAGAAAAGGAAAAGTGATGTAATTATATTTTAATTAAAGATGTATTAAAAACACCCCCCCAAAATTCCATAATGATATCTAATACCTTCTATGGTAATTTATACTTGATCTTAACCAAAAGGCTGAGAAGCAATTGTATGATAATTTATAAAATAAAAAAATAATAAAAAATATAAATACCAGTCAGCTGTTGTTGGCAATATTGATGTGTAAAACAAAGTGGCCCCCAACAAGTGCCACTGGACCTGTTGTTTCTGAACAGAATGTGGGAAGATGACTAAGGAACTCCAGTGATTGGACACTATGTAAACGCCCATCCATGAAATGTCAGCCTTGCTAGTGTTGGTCAGAAAGATATCGAAAGAGGCTTATGTTCTTCAGGACCTTTTATTGTGGAAAAGGTAACACAAGCAGAAGGTTTCTAATGCTGAGAGCATTGCAGAGTCGGTTTTCAGCTCTCTTGTCCTTCCCCCTTAACAGGCACAGTAATGCTAAGCAGAAAGAGGCACAGACTGAAGACCCAGTGCCTGTTAGCTTAGGAACAAATTCCAAATACAAGCACTAATTTTTTTTTCAGAGAAGGTTTACTACATGAAATTGTCCCAGTGATTCTTTATGCCTGATATGGTTGAGGAGCATAAGCTGGTACTCTCTCGTGTATTGCAGGATCTGGGAAAGGCTGTTGCATCAAGGGGTTGGCCACATGCACGGTTGGAACAGCCAGGGCAGACTAGAATGGATAAGGAAAACAGGCAGCATTATGAGCACAGTCCCTTCGTTCGCCTCTGTCTCAGCACTGGAGAACAGAGAGCTCTGGAAGCAGCCCACGCTACAACCCGCATTTCTGCAGCAGGGATTCATGCTATTTTTACAAAAAAGAGACTCAACTCACCCTTTTGCCATGGAGTAGGGTTTGGTAGGCAAAGTGGACCATGACACATGCTATACTGACCTCCAACACGGAAAATATTGCCAACACGCCTACAATTCCTCTCCCAGAAAGCTGAAATAAGAAAAATATAGAATGTTAGACTGAACGGGAGGATCTAATACAGACTTCAGAAATGTCTTGACTCATCAAAAGTGCTGCCTCCCTCATGTTCAACTCACTCTGTGATATTTTCCACAACAGCAAGGAGACCATTACAAAGAAAAAAAACCCCACATACTCATTTTCTAATATTCCTAAACAGTCTACTTGCTGAGAGGAAAAGTCTTCTAAAAAAATCAAAATTAATTTGTATTTCTCTGAAATAAGTATTTGATGACAATAAGGAAATATTCAGAGGGAGTTGATTGCACATGAGCAGAAATCTTCCTCTGTTTCCATCCTACAAAAGCCACTTCACACTTTGATACCTTATTTATGCAGAATTATAAAGTGCTCAAAAGGAATCCTGCGCATTTTGGAGGAGCTGACACCCTGCCACCCTCTACCCAGTGCTCCTGAGGTGGACACGGGGTTGGTCTTCTGATGCCATCTATCTGCAAATGTAATTTTCTCACCTTGTGTCTTAGCGATCACATTCCTGGGAGTAGGGTTAGAAACACAGAGAATTTTCTCAACAGAGCTGCTGTATAGTAAATAGGAGACGGTAGATATACACTGGCATTGAGGAGAGAGCAGTCATCATGGTCCATGGCAGGATACTCACCACCATCCAGTAGTTTTGATAATAGTAGCCGTTGATGTTCAGATCCCACACAAACAGAATCACGCCAACAGAGGCAAAGATAACACTAATAATGTTCGTTGCCAGGGTGCTTTTCAACTGTTGGAGGCAGTAAGAACAGAAAACCATATAGAAGACAGGTGACTTTAAAGGGAGTGGGAGTTTATCCGAATTAATGGTTCTTAATCCTTGACATCTTATTTTAGTTTTCATTGTGCTGAGGGATGAACTCAAGGTCTGGTGCACCCTAAGCAAATGCTCTACCACTGAGTATGTCCCTAGCATGAAACAACATTTGTGAGATCCACAACTGGACAGAGAGTGAGAGACTTTGGAACGCTCAACTCTACATGAGAAGTCTTCATCAAAACCTTCCTCTCAGGGGTCAGGGATCTAGAGGGACAATTTTGTTATTTTGTTCCCGATACCTACCTACCTTCCTTCCTTCCTTCCTTTTTTTTATGAAAGAGAAAGAACATAAAGTTGAATGAGTAGGAAAGTTGGGAATATCTGGGACAATTTGGGGATAAAAGAATATACTTAGATATATTGTATGAAAAAAATGAAAGTAAAAAATTAAAAATCAGCTAGGTGTTGTGGTACACACCTTTAATTTCAGCACCTGTGAGGCAGAGACAGGTGACACTCTGTGAGTTTGAGGCCAGCCTGGTCTACAGAGTGAGTTCCAAGATAGTGAGGGTTATTATGGAGAGAAACCCTGTCTCAATAAAAATAAAAATAAAAAGCAACTCTACTTTGTAAAAACAATAAAAGGACAAACAAGATTTTTATTTTTTGAGATTTATTTTTTTTTAATTTGTAGGTGTTTGCCTGTGTTATATCTATGTATCATGAGTATGCAGTGCCCAAGGAAGCCAGGAGAGACCACTGAATCCCCTGGAACTGGAGTTACAGAGATTATGAGTCACTGGGTGAGTGCTGGGAATGAAACACAGGCCCTATAGAGGAGTGGTCAAGTCAGTGACCTTAACTTCTGAGCCATTTCTCCAGTCACAAGAGCAAACTTTTAATGGGCATTATTCTCTGATAGGTATTTTGTTCTATATTTAAAATGATATCACTTTTAACTCTTATAGCTATCACACAGGAGGCAGTCCCAGTATTAACTTTACACATTCCTATCTAATTGCATCATCCCCAAAGACAGACTCTCTTTCTACACAACCTCTGAGTGGCAGGGCCCTATACAGAGAAGGATGCTGTTTCGTTTGTGGATTTCAGTGGATATGACTAATCAGAGCTAGGCTGGGTCTACCTCTAGCTTGATCCACTATTTTATCTGGAGTGCACAGACAACATGATTCCATCTTCCCATCTCCCCTATCTTTGTTCTTGCACATAGCTTCATATCTCGAAACCACTTCTGCTCTAGGTTTAGGGGAAAAATATCTCTCTCCTGGTTTGCCGTTAAGCCAGGAAATCGCAACAAGGGGCATGCTGTGGCTTGAGAGAACTGAACTCCCATCTCTGTGGACATTTCTGTGCGCTCTTATCCTTTGAACCAGATGTTTTCAATGGCAGTTTAAAGAACTGACAACAGAGACAATTTGAGTAAGAATAGGAATTACACACCTAAAATACAAGACAGAGCTGAGAACTGGCCGTGAGCACCCGGGTCTTTGTAATTGAAGAGGCATGTCAGTGGGTTTTGGTTCCTAGTTTCTTCCTTGGACCTGAATGTTGTGTGACCCAACAGAACCAGGGAGCCATTGGGCTAAAGCTTAAACAACACTTACCTGTACTCATGCCCACTCTTGTGCTTTCCAGAGCCTGGATGTGGGGCTCTGCCTTTCTTGGTGGCAAACTGTACCCCTCCCCCGCACCAGCACAGACATTACCTGGCAGCTGGCAGATATTTTGAGAACAAGCTTCCATCCCCACTCTTTGAATCTACTCTCTCAAGTTGTCCTTGCTGGTAAATCAAACCAGTCTTTAAAAGGATTTAAAGGTAGACTGTTTTCTAACTTACCAGAGAGGGGGCGAGCTTCTTGAATGCCAATACGGAGAGTGAGCCAGAAGCAATGAACTGTAGAAACAGACAGATTCGTGACCGGTAGGTTCTCTGCTGTGCCTGGGACTGTCTCCTTAGACAGGAGGCTGCCCTAGCTGCCTATGTTTTGTTTCCCTCACACACCACTCAGTTATTTTAAGATTCACTTTGGGGATACATCTCTGATTCCCCTCCCTGTTTTCTTGCATGTAAAGAACTGTTACAGGTGGCTCTGAGTTTGCATGGATGATTGGGCCTCCTGCCCAGCCTCATCTTGTTCTCAACCTCATCTTGTCAATGGCCTAGTCTTGCCATGTTTCTGATCACTCCCTCTCACGACTCTCCATCCAGCATATTGGTTCTTGATCTGCTCTTGCATTTACAGTGAGTTTAAATTGTCAGTCTGTAGTGGGGAGTGACAGCCCTCCTTTCTCCTGCTCAAGCAGAGCTGTTATTTCTCAAAGTTCTCTAGCCCTCAGACACATCATCTATCAAGAACTGAGCTGTGAATAGGCTATAAGGGAGAGATGTCCTAGCAATCTACTCACAGAGAGTCCACCCCAGAATGGATATCCACCAATAAAAGCAACAGAGTAAAATCCCCAAGACATATGGTAATTGGTGCTCAGCAATCCAAGAACAATTCCAAAACCAATGTGCATCAATCCAGTTGTGATATGGACTGCCTGAAAAGGAAAACAAAGAGGTATTTTAAAATGATTTCTTTATTTCTAGTCCATGAAACTCCTGTTTATTTACTGTCCATCTTGCCAGAATCTCTGAGAACTCACCCAAACAGTGAATGATTTGATGTATACTGAAATAGCGGGGGAGGAAGGGCCTCAAGTCAAACCCTTGTTTGGCATCCTTAGCTGTCAGAGAAATGCACATCAAAATGACTCTGAGATTCCATCAGAATGAATAAGATCAAAAACACAAGTGACAGCTCATGCTGGTGAGGATGTGGAAATAAGAGGAAGACTCTTCTGTTGCTTGTGGAGTGCAAACATGAACAGATGCTTTGGAAATCAATATGGCAGTTTCTCAGAAAACTGAGAATTGACCTGCTTCAGGACCCAGCTATATTCTTGCTTGATGTCTATTTTGTTATATGTAATTTTACTATGGTAAAGTTAAAACTTTCCTTTTATTTAGACAGAAAAGTCTAATAAAGACTTTTCTTTAAAAAAGGGGAGATGATGCGGGATTCCCCTCTGTAGGCTATGAATATGTTTCATTACCATTGGTTAACGAAGCTGTTTTGGCCTATGGCAGGGCAGAATACAGCCAGGATGGAAGGGATAGAGAGAGAGAGTAGGTGGAGTCAGGGAGACACCAAACAACTGGTGAAGAAGAAAGATACCAGACCTTACTGGTAGGCCACAACCTCATGATGATACATAGATTAACAGAAATGGGTTCATCTAATATGTAAAAATTAGTTAATAAGAAGCCTAAGCTAATAGACCAAGCAGTGCTGTAATTAATATAGTTTCTGTGTGATTATTCGAGTCTGGGCAGCTGGGAAACGGATGTGCAGTCTCTGTTTACACAGTTATTCCCACCACATGGGGTCTAAGTATCACACTCTGGTCATCTGACTAGACAACAAATTCCTGACCCACTGAGCCATCTCACTGGCCCCTCAAACAGGGTCTATTTATTTAATTAGTCAATTTCCAGACCAATTGCAGTTTCCCCTCCCACTCTGCGTCCCAGTCCCTCTCTTTAATCTCTACCCCATCCAACTCTACCCCCTTTCTCTCCTTTCTCTTCAGAAAAGGGCAGACCTCCCATGTATATTAGCCAGCCATGGTATATCAAATCTAGATATCTATCTAGAAGACTAGGCACTTCCTCTCCTACTACCAGCAACCAAGTAGGAGTAAAGGGTCCCAAAAGCAGGTAACAGAGTCATAGATAGCCCTTATTCTCACTGTTAAAGAGTCCCACAAGAAGGCCAACCTACACAACTGTAACATATGTACAGAGGGCCCAAATCAGTCTCCTGAAAACTCTTTTGCTGCCAGTTCAGTCCTGTGAGAACCTACAAGCCCAGGTTAGTTGATTCTGTGGTTTTCTTGTCCTTGACCCCTCTGGCTCTCATGCTTCCTCCCCTTCCATGTGATTCCCTGAGGTCTGCCGAATGTTTGGCTGTGAGTTTCTGTACCTGTTTCCATCTGTTGCTGGGTGAACTTTCTCTGATGACAATGGGGCTAGGCAATGATCTATGAGTATAGCAGAATATTATTAGAAATCATTTCATTGACTATTTTTTTGCCAGTCATGTTTGATTCTATCCTGGTCTTCGGGGCTGTCCAGCCCCTGAGTGCTGACCCTTTCTGTTAATCTATGTATCATCATGAGGTTGTGGCCTACCAGTAAGGTCTGGTATCTTTCTTCTTCACCAGTTGTTTGGTGTCTCCCTGACTCCACCTACTCTCTCTCTCTATCCCTTCCATCCTGGCTGTATTCTGCCCTGCCATAGGCCAAAACAGCTTCGTTAACCAATGGTAATGAAACATATTCATAGCCTACAGAGGGGAATCCCACATCATCTCCCCCTTTCTGTCTAAATAAAAGGAAAGTTTTAACTTTACCATAGTAAAATTACATATAACAAAATAGACATCAAGCAAGAATTATGGTTATAATATTTAGTCTATTTGTACCTGGCAAAATTAAAGAAATATTCTATCATCTATTTTATTTTTGTGAATCTAAAGTTTAATAACTAACTTATCTTTGTCATAACTGAGGAAAATTATAACCATCTAATCTTCAACTCCATCAAAGACTCCAGAAGGATGTAATATTATCTCAGTTAACAGGAAATGCATTGTAAGCGACTTCTAAAACTCTAGAACTGACAGAAACATCTCACTGCCTGGAAAGTCACCAAGAGTTCTTCTGTACCACTGGGGCATCCATCTTGAGCCTACAGGCCCATAGTATCCAGTGGACTTTTCCACAAAGCAGGGAATGTGAGATCTGTTCTGCCTTGTGATGGCAAAGTTTATCAGTTGCTTTCTTCTGTGTCCTGCAGAACGTCTGGCAGTTTCGTCTATGAAGCAGGAAGGACCATTCCATCTTTCGGAAAGTTTAGCAGTCACTTTTCTGTGGGTCCTGCATGTCCAGTTTATTTAGCATAACATTACCCAGTCCTGGTAAGAACAGTTTTGTGCTCAAATGGCCAACCTTGTCCCATTGAGGGCAAATTCCATAATGAATTTCTTCAATACCCACCAACCTCTCTGAAGTAATTGGTACTGCCAGAAGTAGACATGTCCCACTGTTGAGAAAAATCTAAGTTCTTAAAGCATTTTAAATGCCATATTCTGTAAGTCTTTGAAAGGTTTGAAGAATATCTATCTAAGTGAAACATATCTCTATATATCTAGAAAACCTAACTAACATAACTACAAGTTTGACTATTCTAAATGACTATCTATTAATCTGTATTTTAATTATGCATTTTACTTTTAAATGAACTGCACAAACACAACACTTTAAACAAGAGCAGAAATATATATGCACAGTGAAACACATTGACCTTAAATTTGTATCAGTAGACCAAAGTCCATACCAATATATTCATCACTGTACATCATATGCCCCTTATTTTTTCTTTTAGAAATTGACTGTAACCATTAATCATTTATAATTAACCTCCTTTAAATGAAAATAAACATTTATAAACAATCATTTTGGGAATTTGGGTGTAGTTTTTTTCAAACTACTTTCTGCTATTTGTCGGGCAAAGTAATTTTAGGGTTCATGGAGACCTTTGGGGGGATTTTATTTTTCATAAAATCACATTAGCCTGGAAGAAATCCACAGATTCTCATCTTCTGTGGAAACGAAAGCAAAACCTCTTTTCTAAAGCAACATATTCTTAGACCTAAATTTTGAAGTCAGGATACCTTTATGTTGGTTTAACTTTGCAGCCCCCAGAATCAAATATCTTTCTGAAGTCAAAAAATTCAAAGAAAAAACCCCACAGTAATATGCATAATCCAGACTTTCTGTGTATATTCTACATTTACATGGCTCATTTTTCTTTACTCTTTTAATATATGACTGTCTGGACTCTTATATTACTTTTACTGTCTCTTTAAAACTATTTCTTTCTTCCTATAACTGTGTATACTCTTTTTCCTCTCCCAAGCATTCATACATTTTAAAAATACAATGTGTCTCATTTAGAGGTTTTTTATGTCTGAATCTGTCTTTATTGTGTATCTTTAATCAATTTCTGACCTTTCTTTTTAACGCTAAGGGGCCATGGCTAGGATCTACTCCGTGGCTTTGTCTGTTTGCTCCTCCTCATGCAATGTGGTGGAGGTACGCTCCCTGCCCCAGCTCCAGGAACGCAGCTGGTCTGTGTCGCCATTAAGCAACTAGCACGCTGCTCACAATTTCAGTTTAGAACCTCTGAAAGAGCCATCGCTGTCCATGCAACTCAGCCCATACCAGGAAGCCTTCTTAAATAAGCTGCGCAGGTTTTGCTGCCACCACTGAGTCAGGAAGCCTTCTCTTAAAGGATCTGTGCCTCTGTTTCCTTCTAGCAAACAGAGCCCACCCAAGAAAATGCTGTTACCAAGAAGCTGTGCTTAACTCTGTTCTTTTTTTTTTTTTTTTTTTGGTTTTTGGTTTTTCGAGACAGGGTTTTTCTGTGGCTTTGGAGCCTGTTCTGGAACTAGCTCTTCTAGACCAGGCTGAATTTGAACCCACAGAGATCCATCTGCCTCTGCCTCCCAAGTGCTGGGATTAAAGGCGTGCGCCACCACTGCCTGGCTAACTCTGTTCTTTTGTGCCTACCCAAGCTCTCTCAGGTTTTATGTGGATATAGTTGCCTCACGTTGGCATGCCATTTTGTAAACCAAAACTGCTTGTTCATTTCTGACTTCTAAGACCCAAATAATCACACAGAAACTGTATTAGTTGCAATTCTGCATGGCCTATTAGATCAGGCTTCTTATTAACTAATGTTTACATCTTAGATTAACCCATTTCTATTCATCTATACATCACCACGAAGCTGTGGCCTACTGTAAGGTCTGGTGTCTTTCTCCTTTTCACAGCTACATGGCGTCTCCCTGACTCTGCCTACTCTCTCTCTCTATCCCTTCCAGCCTGGCTATATTTTGCCTTGCCATAGGCCAAAGCAGCTTTATTCATTCATCAATGGTAATGAAACATATTCATAGCATACAGAGGGGAATCCCACATCAGAACTGAGTCTTGCAAGGAGGCCCTCTGACCTCCATGTATGTGCTTGCACACACACACACACACACACACACACACACACACACACACACACACACTAAACATTTTTAAGAAGCACCTTGTTTGATTTCCGAATAGTTTCCAGAGAAATCTTTAGAAAATGTGAGTCCTTAAGCATCTCGTAGTGTCTGCTGTGAGTCTATTAGTTTGTAAAGAATGCTGTGATTGGGGTGACAGTGACTGTCTTGCAAAAGTAGCACAGTTTCCTGCCCAGCCAGTGCTCGTCATGAGAAAAGGAGTCAATAGAGATGAAGTCACTCCTAGAGTATCAATCATACACTTGACAATGCTCTAAACATCTTGCCTGTCACTCTACCAACAACTAGGTGGAGATGCAAAGCCATAAGAAATCAAGTGCCCAAGGGCACACAGTTATGAAGGGGCAGATGTCCAGAATGCATGGCAGTGGACTGACTCCAAAACACATTTGGACTCTGTCCTTTCAGGCTTAGCTTGGTTCCACCCATTCTGTGTTGTCTTGGTCATTATGCTAGTCAAATGAACCTTTGCTTTGTAAATTCCTCTTATTTTAAGATTTAAGATATAAACCACATGGCATAATTTGCTTTTATATTTTTCATATTTTTAATTTTAAAAGTTACTATTATCTTATTTTCTATGTCTGGGTGTTTTTCTTGTATGCATGTCTGTGCAGCATCTGTATGCCTGGTGATGCTCCAGGATGCCTGGTGGTGCTCCAGAATGCCTGAGGAGTGGGGTCTGATCCCCTGGAACTGGGGTTACAAACAACTGTGAGCCACCAAGTGGGTGCTAGGAATGGAACTGAGGTCCTCTGCAAGAGCAACCCGTGATCTTAACCCCAGTACCATCGTTCTAGGCCTTGTACTATGTGTTTTTAAAATACTGATATGCAACTTTTCTCACACCAGGTGAGAGGGATTTCACCAATGATAAGGGATAAACCTTTTACTTTCTTATCACTACTTCTTTTGTAGAGTAAACATGGTTTTCTGAGAAGCAACAGCTGCTGTATTGGTTCAAAGCTCAGTGCCATATCCATAGTTCATTTCTTCTCAAGTTTATGCTTGATCTTATCTATCCAGGAAGACTAGAGCCTCGGAAATTTCTGTGTTTATTTTCTCAATGAATAGTAATGAATAAAATTAAAATGAATTAAAAGAAAACAACAATTTCATAAATATGCTATAATAATAATACATTGTTGAAATGCACTGAGACTTGTGAAAGCCATGAACCTTCCCTCTGAACAATTCTTCTTGCACATCTACATATGTTCATCATCCTTTAGACACAGCTTCTGAGAGCTGGTGACCCGTTTTAGCCAATGCTACATCTCAGACTGGAAACTCCTGCATATGACTTGAGATTTGTTTCCACAAGTCATTCTCTAGGAGCACAATCTGGGTACTGACTTCCTTTCTGCCCATATAACCCTGGCTCTACACTTAATTGATTAAAATTACCTACAGCCCTAACCACTTACACATTCAACTTGTTCTGTGGTTTTGGTGATTGTCCCAGCTGATTTCATCCCCAGTTTCCTGTGTTGCTGTGATAAAATATCATAGGCAAAAAGTAATTTAGATTAGGTTTATTTTCACCTCACAATCCCAGGTTATAGTCTGTTACTGTAGAGAAGTCAAGGCAGATACTTCAAAAAGTTAATCATATCACATGAGATAGAAATGTATGCATACCTGCTTGTTTGTTCATGCTCAGATTGGTTTCTCCACTCTGATATTGCCCAGAAATCCCTGCCTGGGGAATGGTGTCACCCATGGTGGGCTGGGTTCTCTCCTATCAATGAACTTAATTAAGACAAAGCCTCAAAGACACACCCACTGGGCAACACAATGCAGAAAATCCTTCATCGAGTCTCTATTCTCAGGTGATTCTAGGCTGACAGTTAAAGCTAACTATCACAGAGGTGTTGAGCAGAGGGAACCAAATATTCTACCCCCACCGTCTGTGGTCCCCAAAGTATTGTGGTAACTTGGGGTGTAGCTTCAGAGTCTTCGTGGCGAGGACCCAGCTTCTGCTAACTGTGTTTATTTTATTTTATTTTTAGCAGAACTTCGCCTTTTCTTTAAATATATTTTGGTTGCATATGTTTTTTCTGCCAGGAGGAATGCTTCAAATGAATCTTTGTTCCACATAGTAAAAGTCATCTGTCTGCTCCAGATGTACCACCAGGTTTGCCCCCACTTCCTCTTTGACCTCCTTCCAGCTGTTCCTTCCTTTGTGCAGTCTGCTCTATTTTATTGGCCTCCTCCTGCTCATCAAATACACCACATGCAATGTTCTTCTAAAGCCTTTACACTGGTCATTTTTTTTGTCCTGATAGCTGTGTGGTTCACTTTGAACTTCATGCTTTTGGAGTGCCCGTCTTGATCAACTTCAGGTTTTGACCCATTTACTGCCTGCTTCTTCTTCTCCCTCTTACACTCTGTATGTTAATTACTTAAGTTTTGTTAGCATATAAAGTACTAGGGTTTGTTATGACATTTTCAAATGAAATTATTGAAATTATTGATATTTTCTTTCTCCTCTCCTCTCATCTGTTTCTTTGCACCCTCTGCATACCCTTCTGCTCCTACAAGCCTCCCTTCTGTTTCCATGTGCCCTATCGCCCATCCCTTTCCTCAGCACCTCTTTTTCTCTTCTCGTGAGCTCCTCTCTACCTCCTCACACACTGCCACCCCCCAACAGTAAAAGACAGGATGTGCGTATGAGAGAGAACACAGATTTTTGTCTTCCTTAGTCTGGGTTGCCTCAGTCAATATCTGTGTATTATTTTTTTACCTTCTCACACACTCTCTAGATTGCATCTTTATTGTGTGTGCAGCCCGATTTCCCCAGCGTGGCTATGGGTGCCCTGAAGGCAGAGGCTGTTCCTGCTTTGTCCTCCCAGATATTTTCAGCAACTGTGTGAAGTGGCATTGTGAGCTATGCATTTGCAGGGAATGTACTCCACTTGGCAGGGTGAGATCCAAGGAGCCACCTTCCCAGTGTGGAATAGCTGCTGGACTGTGGGGTGGAGTACTGTTTATTTTTACTTGCCTGAAACACGGTGACTTGACTAAATTACCAAAAAGCACTAGCTGGTAAGATGGCTAGAAGAATTCAAATACATAGTAGGCACCTGTTGTCTACTGACTCCCGTAGCCAAGATTTTGGAGCTGTACCCAGGAAGAGACATGACACATTGCCGGAGTGTCTGAAGAGGTACGGGGAAAGGTAACAAATGGTGGTGACTTCTGGGTAAGCACGTGGAGACTTTACTACAAGTCAGGCTTGCTTTCCAGTGCTGATAGAAACAAGACTGTGGGTGTCCAGTTCAAATCAACTTTTGTGAAGTAAAGCAACAGAGACATAAATTTCCAAGGGTTTTTCACATTCTGCTTTCTCCAGACAGTTTGCTAGTAGCTCTATTCCCTTTAAGACAGTTTTAAATGATCTCTTTAAAGTTAATTCATCTTTATAGAAATATACATGTGTAATCAATCCTGTGACAGAGGTGAGGTTGTCTAAAAAGACTTTCACAGCAGTGAGATCAAGCAAGAAGTAGTTGGGCTCCTGTTACATCACGATTACAGGATCTTCCTGCTAGGAAATGTCTTCTATCAACTGTTAGACTCATGACTGAATCTAAAATAAATTAACCCAGAAAAACTCATGCACAGATTGAACTTTTCTTTCAGGGAGAGATACAATTATCAGAACAATCTTCCAATATTTTTGCTCATTTGACAATATGCTATTGTCACTGACAGATGCATGAAAACCTTGCAAATGAAACATTTAAACTCTAGTGGCAAATACACTTACCCCAAGAGCTATTGCTGCATCTTTAAATTTGGGGTTGGTTGTTGTTGTTGTTCCTGAAGCTGGATGCCCTGTTGGCACATTTTCCAGACCGAGCTGATGGGTAGTGAGGATTCCTGGAGGTGTAATGTAAGAAATTTGCCCAGTCTGTACTTCGTTTCCTATGTTTAGAAAACCCAAAGGTGGTTGAGGATGAAGAGCCATGGAACTTGGTGGTGGGTAAGGATTGGGAATGGTGACATGCATTCCAGGGTAGGTAGTTGTCTGGGAAGACGTCATTATGTCCTAAGAAGCAGAAAATATACAAAATAACACATTTACCAAGATAAGAAATGAAAGGACACTTTGTCAAGTGTCAGTTTTCTATGCAAATGGGAGAGAGAAAGTGAGCAGATACTGGCTAGTGACAAGCAATAAAAATATAATTCTCATTTGACCTTGGGATCCCATATATCCTGGGGCTCAAAAGAAGTAAAGGAGGGATGATGGGAATACATTTCGTTTTCAGTTCTTCATATTGAATTTTGCAGTGTGTTCATGTACATGTGCATGTGCACATGCATGTGTGTTTTTCTAAGTTCATTGCTTTTGAAGGGCATCAGAAGGCATGGGGGACTGAAGTATCAGGACTCTGAACACATGGTCTGAACAGTTGCCCCTATTAAAATGCCCGTGGTTTGATATATCAGTAGGTTGGTTATATAATTTATACTTCGACAAAGGATAAAGGCATTCCTTCTCCAGGGCTCTTTGACATCTGTGAATACAAGAATATGGCTTGCAGAAAAGATCTCAAAAATGAATCCAAGAATACTGAACACAATGTTTTTGGTGTGCAGTTTTCTTCTTCTTTCTTTAAGGATTGCTAGTGACTTTTGTCCACATTTAATCATAGAGATTTACTTCCATCGAAGTTTCCTTGGCCACATTGGTATTGGAATTTAAAATAGTTCCACACTAGCCCAGAATGGGACCTGAGACCACCTCCAAAGTGGACCAGCACCTCAAAGGCCATTGGCTGAAGGAGGTCCCACAGCACCTCCCCCTTTTGTCTAAATAAGAGAGTTCCAAACCCAATACAAAACTACATAAAATAAGAACAAATACCAAGTATAAAAATTAAAATTCCAACCAGCATAAACAATATCAATCAAGAAACATATGCTAAATGTTTCAATAGTTATTCTATCCTAAGGATTCTAAATCTTATGCTAGAAATGGCTTGACTAAGTCATGAGACAAAAGTAACTACAACTATCTAGTCTTCAGTCCTATCAAAAACCTGAGAAGGGAAAAGGAATTCCAACAGCACATTGGGTCTGAGATACTGAATGAATAAGAACCCTCAAGAGTAGTTTATCTAAATAAAATAACATCAGTGGCCATATGTGAGCTAGTGACTTTCCCTAACAAATAATTTTAATCTTGGACCACCTTCCTTGCCATCGAGTTGCATTATTGATATCAATATTGTTTTCTATCTGTTGCTGTAACAGATTAGCAGTAAGAGTAAGCCTCTCCTCAGGCTTCAAATGAACTCTTTAGGATAACATTCATTACATACTACAGGAGGTGTGTACTGTGTTCAGTTATAAGCATCAGTTTGGGGTTAGAATTCTGGCTCTGACACTAGCTAAAGTTTTGTTGAACTTTCTTTTCTGCTATTTCTCTGCAATATGGTGCGAAAAGCAATAAAAGAATATCTTTCTTCTAGGGCTACGAGGAGTGATTCCTCACAACATGCAAATAACTATTGAAACAGGAACCATGCATGTGAAGACTGAGTTTCTGAGACTAAATATTATTCCAGATCTTTTTAGTCTCCAACCTGATACTTCACTAACTGTGGTACCTTGAGCATCTTTCTCAATTAAATCCCTGTTAGCTCCTGCATCTAAGCTGTAAAACAACAGATGTTGCCATTTAAATAGTTGGTACAAAGTTTGAAGGATGGCAGTTTTCATAAAGCCGTTTGAAGACTTGCCAGCACAGAGCAAGAGCTTGAAAAACAGCCGCGACTATCGTGGAATTAGAACCCAAAGTCATATTTCATGTAGAGAATGGAAGCCCATTTGGCAAGAAGGGTTGGATTTCAAGAGATCAGTGCAAAGAGGGAGGAGACAGGAGATGGGGTACAGTAATAAGTCAGGACAAAAATTTTCCTGGCCTTAAAAACTGAATCCATTGAAATGATTGCCCTATGAGAGAAAGTGAGGGAGAAAGAGCGATAGGGGTGGAGATAGAGACAGACACACAGAGAACATTATTGTCTTTGTTGCAGATTATTGCATATTTTTGCATATATTTTTAAATATATCATTTACATTTGTTAGGCAATTTTCAAGATGTTTATTTATCATCTATTTCTGATTTTATATCTGTTACCTAGTTTCTGCATATGTAAGTTTCATACATAATACAGACTCTATTTCTTTATCTGACACTATAAAACCCATGCTGGCCTCAGGATGTATTTGTGTCATATCAGGCTATTTTTTAGAAAATGATAAGAAATGACCCAGTCTGTACTTTTTGGTTAATACCAAAATGACGTAATGCATAGATATGATGTGCACAAGCACAAGTGATGGCAGGATGACGATTAACTGATTATCCAGTCCCAATGAGGAGGCACAGAAGGGAAAACCAGTAAGTTCAGTCATGAGTCATGTTTTTTATAGAGTTAGCTCAGTTTTTTCACTTAGCAATTGATAAGCTATTTATTATCAGTTGTCTTTTTTAAAAAAATGAGAACTACCACAACTAATTTTTAAGCACATGAATACATAAAACACCAAAGTTTTCATGAACTCTAAAGCATGCATGGGGACCACAACAATAAGAGAAAAACTAGCCAATAAGCTAATTTCAAATAAAGGTGGGAAAACCACAATTGCAATTTCTTTGTTCCTCTTTGCTGTCTTGCTTTGAGCAGAGTGGAGTTGATACTATTATTTACAATGTATTACCGGGTAAAATTGGCACTATCATTCAGTGTACTACAGAGTGGAGTTGATACTATCATTTACAATGTGTTACAGCATAGAATGAAACATCAGAGTCACACACAGATATTTTCACAGGATCATGCAGCACATACATCTAAAGGCATCATCTTTCAGCAAATATAAAATGCTGACCCAGTGAAGGACCCCCCTCCCCACCTTCTTTTTCCAGAAAGAAGCATCTTTAATGTCTTACCCAAGTGCTTCAGTGTTTCTGTTGTTCAGTGTGGTCCCATGGTCACCACGTTATTTCCAAGGATTCCCACTTGTTGGTTACTGTCCCTGGAATTTTATACAACTGCACCCACTGTTCTTAGCATGAGATTTATAGATACGCATATGTAAATAGATATACTTGAAGTGCCTCTAACTTGTTTTGTAGTAATTGTCTTTGTCTCCGGGTTTCTCTCTCCCTCATTCATCAGCTGTCTCAATACAGACTCAAGACTTGACTCCAGCCCAGAGACTAGAATGTGGCAGCAAACCCACCCCGTCAGACCAGCCCCATTTCATACTCACTGAGAAAGGGAGGCAGGGTGGTTTCAGTGGACTTCGCAGCTTTCCCAGCACCTCTGGCTTTTCTTTCTCAGCTCCAAAATCTGTTCTGGCCTCAGATATTTATCTGGAGTTTATAAGTACCTTTACTTCCTTGCTTCAAACTAGCCTATCCCATCTCTACACAATTCCAAAGTCCTTTTATTGCCCGGTTTCACTCTAATCATGGGACTGTGTTGTAATTTGCAGTTTCCTCTCAGTTACGCTGGGAAGTGTGCTCCGGGTCTTGTTTTAAATAACACATTTTTAAATTTATTATTATTTTTTCATTTATTTTACTCCTGACCTCAGTTTCCCCTCCTTCCTCTCCTTCCATTCCCTCCCCCCACCCATCCACTCCTCATCTGACTCCATTCAGAAAAGGGCAGACCTCCCATGGGGGGGTCAAGGAAGCAGGACACACCAAGCTCCTCCCACTGCATCAAGGCTGGGCGAGGCAACCCAGCTTGGAAATAGGTTCCCGTAAGCAAGTTTAAAGCCAGGGGCAGGTCCTGATCCTACCGTTAGGAGCCCCACAAACAGACCAAGCTACACAACTGTCACACACATGCAGACTGCTTAGTTTGGTCCCATACAGGCTCCCAGCTGTTTGTCCAGAGTCTGTAAGGTACCACAAGTCAGCTATCTCTGTGGGTTCCTCTCTCATGACCTTGACCTCCCTGGCTTGTACAAACCTGTCTCCCTCTCTTCATTAGGACTTCCAGGGCTTGGCTGTGGATCTCTGCATCTGCTTTCATCAGTTCCTGAATGAAGGCTCTCTGATGACAATTAGGGTAGTCACTAATCTGATTGCAGTAGATGGCCAGTTCAGGTACCCTCTCCTCTATTGCTAGGAGTCTTAATTGGGGTCATCCTTGTGTATTCCTGGGAGTTTCTCTGATACCAGGTTTCTTCCTAACCCTGAAATCCCCCCTCATCAAGACGTCTCAAATTTCATTACTCTCCCCCTCAGTTTAGCTCCTAGCCTGCTCAGTCGGATCTCTCATGTTCTCATCCCTCACCCCACCCCCAGTTTATCTAGAAGATCTCTTCTTTTCCCCGTCCCAGGGAAATCCATATGGTCCGGGCTGTGGACTGTAGCCTGGTTATCCTTTACTTTACAGCTAATACTTACTTATGAGTGAGTACATACCATGTTTACCTTTCTGGATCTAAGTTATCTCACTCAGGATGATTTTTTTTCTTGTTCCATTTATATGATTGCAAATTTCATGATGTTATTGTTTTTTTTTTTTTTTACAGCTGAGTAATACTCCATTGTGTAAATGTACAACATTTTCTTTATCCGTTCTTTAGTTTAGGGGCATCTAGGTTATTTCCAGGTTCTGGATATTATACATAATGCTGCTATGAACATAGTTGAACAAGTGTCCTTGTGATTTGAACATTCTTTGTATTTATGCCTAAGAGTGGTAGGTCTTGAAGTTGATTGGTTGATAATTTTCTGAGAAACCACTTTATTGATTTCTAAAGTGGCTGTACAAGTTTGCACTCACACCAGGAGCTGAGGCATGTTCCCCCTTACTATACATCCTTTCTGGCATAAGTTGTCTTTAGTGTTTTTTATCTTAGCCATTCTGACAGGAATAAGATGGTATCCCAGAGATGTTTTGATTTGCATTTCCCTGATGACTAAGGATGTTGAACAATTCTTTAAATGTATCTGGGACATTTGAGATTCTTCTGTTGAGAATTCTCTGTCTAGATCTGTACCCCATTTTTAAACTGGATCATTTGGTATTTTGATGTCTATTTTCTTGAGTTCTTTATGTGTTATGGAGAACATCCCTCTGTCAGATGTGGACTTGGTGAGGATCTTTTTCCATTCTGTAGGCTGTCATTTTGTCTTGTTGACAGTGTCCTTTGCCTCACAGAGGCTTTTCAGTTTCAGAAGGTTCTGTTTATTAATTGTTGATCTCAGTGTCTGTGCCACTGGGGTTACATTCAGGAACTTGTCTCCTGTGCTAATACGTTCTAGGCTACTTCCCACTTTCTCTTCTGTCAAGTTCAGTGTGGTTAAATTTATGTTGAGGTCTTTGATCCACTTGAACTTGAGTTTAGTGCATGGTGATAGATATGGATCTATTTGCATCCCTCTACATGCTGACATCCAGTATGCCAGCACCATTTGTTGAAGATGCTTTCTCTTTTCCATCTATATTTTGACAAATAAGTCAAAATGTTCACAAGTATGTGAATTTATGTCATGGTCTTCAATTTCATCCATTGATCCACCTGTCCAGCTGTTTTTTTTAGTACTATGCTGTTTTTATTACTATAGCTCTATAATAGAGCTTGAAGTCAGGGATGGTGATACTTCCAGAAGTTCCTTTATTGTATAGGATTGTTTCAGCTATCCAGTTTTTTGTTTGTTTTATTCGTTTTTCCATATGAAGTTAAGTGTTGTTCTTTTGAGGTCTGTGAAGAATTGTGTTGGAATTTTGATGGGTATTGTATTGAATCTGTAGATTGCTTTTGGTAAGATTGCCATTTTTATTATGTTAATCCTCTCAATCTATGAGTATGAGAAATTTTTTATTTTCTAATATCTTCTTTGGTGTAGGAGGCCCTTCTGTATTTGTATTGCTTTTATTGGTTATTAAAGAAACTACCTTGGCCTAGTTGATAGGGCAGAACTCAGATAGGCAGGGAAGACAGAATGGAATTCTGGGAGGAAGAAGGCAGCAGAGAGAGAGCCTCCATGAAGTTGCAAAGTCAGACATGCTCAATCTTTCCCAGTAAACCATGATCTCGTGGTGACATACAGATTATTAGAAATAGGTTGAATCAAGATGTGAGAGTTAGTCAATAAGAGGCTAGAGCTTATAGGCCAGGCAGTAATTAAATTAATACAATTTCTTTGTGGCTATTTCGGGGGTTAAGCTAGCCGGGTGGTCGGGATGACAAGCAGCCCGCTGGCCCAGGTGTAAGCCAGTCTGGGACTGGACGCAGCCCATTCTTCCTTAGTAAATGGACTATGGTTATTTTTCTTTGTTTAAAAAAAGGGGGGGGGGAGAAGTGGTGCAGGAGAATTGTCTGTATTCTGTCAATCATGTTTTAAATAAACGCTAATCTTTCTGTCTGTCTGTCTGACTCTGTATGGTTTTGTGTATCTACATAAAATTCAGGGTTTACAAATGAGAAAAATACAATATTTATCTTTCTGAATCTGGTTTATCTTACTCACCCATTTTTCTGCTGATAGACACTAGGCTAATTCCTAACTTGGCTCTTTCGAATGCTGCATTCCTGAACCCAAGGGAAGCAGAAGGGTACTATTTTAAGACTGCAATATATGAATCTAAATTTATTTCCACAAAATAAAAGCAAAAACAATGGAAGATTTAGTATGTAAGGTCTTACATGGGAGGATTACAAATAGTGTTTGGAAAAAGAAGAAGAAAGTGCCCATGAGAATGAAGAACATTATGAAACCTAATGCAGACATTTCGTTTCTGATTTCTCTTTCTACTCTGTTTTCATATAACCCAGGGCAGTCTGGCTAGCCTCCAGGTGATAGAGAAACATCAGTATCTCCCTCAAAGGGTGGTTGTGAGGGTGAAATGGGGTGAGTACATCATCTGATCAGTATGCTTGCTGCCTAGAGCAGTTGCTAAGATGTCCCATTATTGTCTTAGAGGCAGGAAAAGAACCTTCAAAGCTTGAGTTGAAATCAATGTGGGGAGCAAAGGCAGTGGGGGGCCCTAGAGGAGGAGTAACAGACTTGTCATGGGGACTGGAGAGATTAGGAGAACAGCCTGCTCTGAGGCGCACCAATGGAGTCTGCCTGTTTGCTTTAGGTCACAGGGCTTTACGAAGAATCAGAAAAGAGGATCCCAGGAATATGCTGCGAAATACCTGTTCCTCTCAAAACATTTGACCCAAGAGAATGAAAACTCAGTGTACTTAGCATTGATCTCTGAGTTAAATTATTAATGAGCTTGACTCATTAACACATCTGTTCACACACATGCTTCTCCTTTGTGGGGAAGTTTGTGAACGTTTTTGTGTTTGAATCTGAGGAGTCAGTGTTGCTGAAGGAAATTGTAATGAGGTGATTTCCCCGGGGTTCTTGAAGAACAGAATCTGATGTAGTTATTTAAAGATTATTGACTGAGCAGGTGCTCAGGAGGCTGAGGTTAGGAATGAACGGTTTTGTTCTCATGAAGCTTTCCTCCTGGTGAGGGAGGCTGACCCAAGTACGGTGTTTTGAGTAAGAATGGCTCCCTTAGGCTCATGTATTTGAATGTCTAGTCACCAAGGAGTAGACTACTTGGAAGGATTAGGAGGTATGATCTTGTTAAAGAAAGTGTGTCACTGGGGGCAGGCTTTGAGGTTTCAAAAGTCTCTGACAGTCCAGCTCCTGACTTCTAGCCTGTGGGTCAGGATGTAGCTCTCAGCATCTTCTCCAGTGTACGGCATGCGGCCATGCTTTCTGCCATGGTGGACTAATCCTCTGAAACTGTAGACCTGCCCCAGTTAAACGTTTTCCTTTTAAGAGTATGAGGGTCTAAGTAGCCTCACAGACACCATTTGAGAGCGACACCCATCTTGAGACATCTAATGACGGGGAGTTGAACCTAGTTCCAGAAAAAATAGCTACAAAAGGTGCTGTGACAATGAAACTTGAGCAAATACTGTAGATGCAGCCAATCAGAAGACAGGGCAATAAAACTTAACGAGGTTCAGATATTTCTGCGGACATCCTGCTAGCAACCTGTGGTTTTGTGCCACTAGCCTGACCAATGATTTTAAAAATCGCCTTGTCAGCCGGGTGGTGGCACACACCTTTAATTCCAGCATTTGGGAGGCAGAGGCAGGTGGATCTCTGGGAGTTCAAAGCCTTCTTGGTCTACAAGTGTCAGTTTCAGGACAGGCTCCAAAGTTACAGAGAAACCCTGTCTCGGAAAAAAAAAAAAAATGAAAGAAAGAAAGAAAAAAGAAAAAAAAATTGCCGTGTCCCATACCTCCGACCCAATCCGGAAATATAACTTTCCACTTGTGAATTTTCCTTTAAAATCTCCCCCTTCCCTGTGTTTGGAGCCACACTCCCTCCATCCACTGTGTCTGTGTGTTGGAGGGCTGAAGTTCTGGCACGAGCTTGTCACACAAAAACCCTTGTGTATTTTCATCAGAAATCAGCTCCGTGGTTTCCGGGTTGGGGGGCGGGGTGGATCCCGTGACAGGGGCATAACAAGAGTTCTCGGAAAA